ACACCCATGCCATACTTATTCCTATCTCCACTTGCCTCCTTACAGATCTTTCCATCCCACAAACACTAAGAGTTTCATCCTAGCCACCCACACATGCCAAATTAAGAGACAGGAAGCCAAAGCCAGGCAACTGCCTGTCAAGCAAGAAGCCTGAGATAAAAGAAAAAGGAGAATCCAAGTATTTGCACTGTCACCTACTATTTAGCCCAGTACCTTAATGTCATTCCCTCAAGGCTCACGATTTAGTCTACTGCTCTGGAAGGAAGGAGTAAACAAAATTCATCAGGATGGGGAAAGTGTTTAGAATCAGAGCAATTACCTTTCTCTAACTCAGACACTCTTTCTAGCAATGCATTCAGGGCTGTCTCTGTCTTCTGCCGGTGTGCTGAGGTCTCATTGTGAAGCAGAGACTTCTCATCCTCCAGCTCGGCCACTTTGCTCAGGAGCTGGCGCTCCAGGTCCCCGAGCCGCCGCTGAAGCATCTCCCGCAGGTCACTGGGCAGGGCTGCATAGGACACGTTGGCTCGGAGCTGATGCTTTAGGGGAAAGCGGGGGGGAAAAAAAATTGTCATTCCTGAAACAAACTGTGAAATGCAGATATGCTCCCAGTTCAAAGGAGGGAAGTAAGATCATGGAGCTCTCCAGCCAAGTACAGAAGAGGTATTGCTTTTGAGCATTTGTCATACTCATTGCTTTTATCAGCACTGTAGCTAAACAGGTCCTGAAACAAAAGGGCACCTTTGTTAATCGTTTCCAGCACTTTATATGAAGGAGTTTTCATAAATTTAAGTTCAATAAAATCAATATAGGGAGCAGGTCTGATGTCTATTAGTATGGATGCTCTTTAGATCAATCTAAGTATTAACCAGTGAAAGTATTCTTATTCAAACTGAAAAAAGAGGCACCTCATACTCTCAAGTAACACTGGTATCTTTAAAGATACTGAAAAAACAACATTTCCACCTACCATGTTATTCTAGTGGAGTTTCTCTTCTACAACGCTAAAAAGGATGCTTCAGAAGGACAGCAATAGTAATAAAAGGATGTAATACTAACAGCTCATTCAGAACTGCACTTGCAAAGCAGCACTCACAAAACAGCCTTTCAGAAGTTACTCACCATCCTCACATCAGCACTGACTGGAGGACAGCAGAAGCACATGCGAGGCTTTCAGGGTGCGAAAAGCAGAACATCAACACAAATCCTCTGAGAATCCTCTCTACGAAACATTTGCATGAGCAGCACTCAAACCATGAGCACTGTCCAAAGGCTCATGGAAATCACTCATCGGTGGGCTTGGACCAAATCTCCTTTCTGTTCAGAGGCACACAGAATCGGGCTCTTTTTATTCTATGTCAGCCCTGAGTACATCATCTTGTCTGTACCATCTGCCCAACACAATCTCCTCATTACCACTGGCCTGTTCAGCACCATATGCCGAGGTCTTACTGCCCAAGACGTCAGCTTTGTACCTCAAACCACATGAAGTCACATCCCCAGAAAGAGAGATTTGCACATTATTAATACAGAACCTAAGCTGGTGACAAGCAGGGAAACCATAATCTCCCCACACACAGTGGAAGAACACATTCAAGAGCAGCCCCTTACGGTTTTTACCATTAAAGAGATGAGATAAATAACCAAGAGAACACGACAAGCCAAACCGAGCCACTCACTCCCGGGGCTGGGCCAGTTTGGATCTATCTCCACACGGATTTAGGGCACTACTCGTGCCCGAAGTGCCCGCTAGACGTGAAGCCGCGCCGCTGCCCGGCCCTACCTCGAGGCTCTCCAGCCGGTCCTTCAGGGTCTGCATGGTGCGGCTCAGCTGGTCGATGACCTGCGCCGGGTCCCGTGGCAGGTCGCCCATCGTGTCCTTGCCCTTGCCCACGTCGTTCTTCCACGCCCCCGCGGACTTGCCGTCGGCGCCCTCGCAGCGGCTCAGCTTCCCGGTGAGCTCCCGGATGGCCTCCCGCTGGCTCCCGATGGTTTCCTTCTGCTGCAGGACGGTCTCTCGCAGCTGCAGCACCATGGCTTTGAGCTCCTCCTCGGGGGGCAGCGCGCCGCCCTGCATGGGCACGGGGGGCAGCGGGCAGCCCGTGCCGGCGGCGTCCAGCGGCAGCGAGGTGCACACGAAGCGGCTGCCCGGCGGGCTCTCCTGCTCCCCGGCCGGCGAC